AACTATCCATGGGGACAATCATAAGGAAATTGCTCTGATAGTAATGTACCCTTATTTTCGAAAAACGAGAAGAGCGTCGAGTGCAGACCACACACCACAAGTGACGACGGCCAAGAAAAAGTGCTTTTTCTTTTCTTTTTCTTGGCCGTCGTCACTTGTGGTGTGTGGTCTGCACTCGACGCTCTTTCAAATAGGGGTAGCTGTTCTCGGGGGATCTCTTCATCTAGGTCGTTGCTGACCTGGATTGTCAAGGGGAAAGGGGCATAAAAGGGGGTATACTCATAGAGTATAGATAGTTTCTTGTCGGTATGCGACATGAAATCCACTCCCGATAAAAGTCGTCCTGACGTTTGAATGCGTGGGCCAACGGCTGCCAGGGCCAAACGGTACGACCGTCGTCAGGTTTTGTCTGCGAACACCTAAATCTTACATAATACTTGGTTTATTGAACGGAATGTAATAAAAATAACAGTGGTGACAAAATTAGAGACCTGTAACATTTCCGTGCACCTCCATAATGTTTACCTAAACTTGTGCCGTACGGGGTTCTGCTTGCAATTACTGATGATGGCATAGCAACAAGCTAGTCTTCATTTCTGCGACCCATTATTTGGCTCAACTTCGCAGCCCCTGATCCATCTCTGAAGCTTTTACAAAAATTCTGACAAAGCTTCAACCTGAGTTACTGTCGTGGTTTAGTGAACATGCACCAATCACTTCTATAGCTACTGTTCCCTGATGCATGCTCTTGTGCGGCAAAACAGCGCTCAAGTGTCCTCCCTATATCTAAATGTCTCAAGACGGTCTAAAATAGTGAATTCGCGAAATCTTCGGGGCAGTTTGAATTTGATTTTGAAGATCCAGATATGTGTCTGATTTCAATTCACAACTCACAACATGTCTCCTGCGTTTTTTCATGAAGTCCTGGCTTGGTTGTTTTCACCCGCAAATCCTCACCGAATTCAGGTCTCATCATGCCTTCAGTGACAGCAACGATGGTTCCCTTTCTTCGTGTGGGAACGCCTGTGGTGTCTCAGGAACCTATGATTGACGAGGTTAGATTCGACCAAGATCGAGTTTTTCCTAATTCTACATAGAAATTTTAACACCTGGGATCATTCCGTCTGCCGAAGAAACCCGGAAGATATTCTGTAGCGAAATTGAGTTGAACTGTGATTATTCCTACTTAAGCCTCCAAGGTTGACATCACTATTATTCGGCCATTGTTTTCCATAGAATTCTTATCGCACATCATCAAATCGCACTCTTCGTATCTTATGAGGATATTATCGAGCTGATTCACCCAATTATCATTTTTCATCCAGATTTTTTGAACCCAATCATCCAGATTTTTTAAAACATTTCTATTATATGAGCCAAATAAATTTGGGCTGGTTTCAACTTTGAGTTTTTAATAACATGCGCCGTTTGCAAGAAGGAAAAACGACGGGAAAACAAGTCTTAGACGTTGTCATAGAAATCGACCTTCATAGGAGCGAAGTTTCAAAAGGAGCCTTTAGCTCTTTGGCTTGGATTCCGTGCGGTGGTGCTTCTGCCTTTGTCCATGACATACCCTTTTCTAGACAGACCCTTTTCTAGGCGCATTTTAAGAGCTCAAAGTTGGAACAATGCATGTCTATTTGACTCTTGTAATAGAATCATAAAGAAATGTGCTCCAAAAATCAAGAATGATGTCTCTTCAAAAATGAATCTCTTGATGTGACCCAATAGCGGACCACTCGACCTACAGTGTATGTACCACGCTGTCATCAATGTAATGGACTGTCGAACAATGTCCCCTCTGTAGAAAACGAGAACCGCGTCGAGTGCAGACCATACACCACAAGTGACGACGGCCTCCACAAAATGTAAATGTTTTCTGCCAATGAAATGATTTTGTATTCTATCAGTTGTCACTAATTACAACTATCATTTACCAAAATCAGCTATCACTATGAATCACTACTAACCAGATTTACTTGGAGCCGTCGTCACTTGTGGTGTGTGGTCTGCACTCGACGGCTTCTGGTTCTTTGAAAAAGAGGGTACTTGAGCATATGCCCTTAGAAAGGTTAATGCATCACGTTTAGGAGGATCACCATCAAAATTGCTCAAAGTGGCGTAAGATATCGAAAAAGCTATCGCTGAAGCGGAAACGAAATGAGGTAGGTATAAAAGGCCACTTTATCATGGCAAGTTAGTCGTTTTACTCCGGAAATTGCGATTGTTTCAGCGTGTTCAAGAATCCTGCTTGGGCGACCAGAACGCGAACAAGGAGACGCATGCGGCCAGAATCAGTCGTGAAATGAAGACAACCGTGGAGGCGATCGCGTACATTGCCGAACATATGAAAGGCGAAATGAACGACAAAAAGGTAATTCTGTTCGTTCAACGTCCACACCAACTGAGTGCGCGTTTTTACAGGTGTGTGGTTGGTTTCGTTGGTGCATGTTTCGGCTTTCCAACAACTGCATGCTTCTCTTCAAGACCCCCTAAGGCGTGTTCTGGCAGAGCACTCTCATAGGCTTTCATGTGAGGGTGCTGTTTCTCCCAAAACACTCCTTCGGCGTTCTTGAATAGAAGTGGTGTTGTGATGTTCTGGGACTTACAAAGCTCATAGCATCGTACCATAATGACTCATAAACTACGCGGCCTTCAGGCACTGAGGGCCGAGAATTAATGTATGCTATAGGTGAGGCCTTTCGTAAATTCTGCCTATAAAGTTCAGAAGTTGCTAAGATTCACAGGACTGAGACAACTGAATGTTAATTGTTTGTTGCAGACACGCGATGACTGGAAGTACGTGGCGATGGTGATTGATCGGCTGCTTCTTCTGCTATTTTTGGAATAACACTGGGTGGAACTCTTGGGATCATTTGTTCTGCACCGCATGTTTTTGATTTCGTTGACCAGGAGCTGGTACGTACACTCTGCTTTACCCCCGTTCAAAATTCTGAATTTCAACACTCAAGAACCTTTTTCTTCTTCTATAAAACTTGTGCCGGTAGGCT